TAAGTGCATGTTTCTCAGTACGTTAGCACCCACTCCCCAATTACTCTTCCTGAAGGTAACACTGGCACATTATTTCCACAAAGATTTGTTATGTCAACAGAAAAATATTTGATCTTTAAATTTTCCTCTAAGAAGAATGCCCAGATAGTAAATATCATTTTGTGTCTTTGCATATAAATCCCAATCAAAGCCAGCATGGGGGGGTGACAGGAGTTCAAGCACCAGCGGGCAAGGAGCACTTGCTGGGCTCGGCTTCTCCGGCCACCTCTGTAAGCCTGATGCTGTGGAGTCACGATTTTGGGTGGCACTGCAAGCAGGGTCATGCCCAGAAACACTTCCTGAATCTGGCACTGGGTTAGAAAACCAGACAGTGTCCCGTCTGTCCCTCTGCAGGGGTTTGCACCTCACCTGCTCTGGTGACCCACAGCTCCGCAGCGAGAGGGAAGCCCACAGGACACAGGGATGGGCAGAGCAGGCGCTTGCTGGCCGGTTAACAGAAAACCACATTTAAACCCTTTCAAGGCTGGGTTCCAGAGAGCACAGCTATTATACACTGGCCTGCTCACTAAAAACAGCAAAGTTAGAAGCAAGCCAAAAGGTTTCTATCTGATCTTACAACCCCAACAGTTTCTTCAAAACCCAAGAAAATATGAATGTGACCTAACCTCAAGAAGTTGTCAGAAACTTCGGAGACAGCAAAGCACCACTGCTTATAAATGAATCAACTTCTAGCACCTACTGGCTCCTGCACAGCAAGCTACTTCTTCCTGTAATACATTCATATCAAAAGAAATCTGTCTGGCTGAATATTTACATGAGCAATTTTTCATGCAAATATTCTAGCGTCCTGTCCAAATTAACACTCTGTGATGGGAGATGAGACACTCCTCTGCCAAAAACAAGCACAAATTATTTTTTCTTTGTAATTCAAAACGCCTTATGAATATATCCTCTCATTGTGTGAGACATAAAGCAATACTGTCATACATAATTGTTTTGACAGCACCTACAAAGTACTTGAATTTAAAGTAGAGGAAGGTACTTAAGGTCTATCAGGAACAGTGACTTGCTCTAATATTCCTTTTATCCATAACTTTTGAAAGGAACATGGATCTTGTGGTTTTATTTTAACAAAGACAAAGCTCTGCAGAAGTTATACTTTTGAATTAATTCCATCCTGAGCTGCTTTTATCAGCATCCCTTACACAGAGCATTTTGGACAAACATTTCAATTTTTAATCTCATCTTTTCCGTGCACCATGCCCCACTCCTCCCAGGCCCACCAATCTTGTTATCTTAATGGATGACAGATAGAGTATCACTCTGACCATGCCACATTAGGCGTCCTCATTTACCGAGTGCAAGGAAAAAATGCTGAGTATAAATTATTCAGAAATCTATTGTATCAGCGTGTGTTCTCTGAGCATCCACCACTGGCAGAGCAGACAGATTATTTTTCACTTTTAATTGTGTTGATATCTTATCTGCCACACGGAAAGGGGAGAGTGATACGTGAAACGATATGTATGTATCAAGCAGCAAATAAACCCAGTTTACTAGATCTACTGCTTAGAACTAAATAATCTATTTAATCAACCTAACTTCAACACAATGCCAAAATACCCCACCTCATTCCACTTGCCATTTATTTTTGTAGTATTTGCCTGTGAATGTGTCAAAATTAGAGAGCTCAGTACAGAACAGCAGTGCCCACAGAGAATATTAATTATTTCAGCAATATTTAGAATGTCATTATGCCACTGGCTAACTCAATACAAAGGAGATCATTAAGGACGAGCCCTCAAGACAATGTTAAGTGCTTAAACTTGTGAATGCTTACAGATTCGTAAGCATGAACTACTACCCTTACATACCTGATAGGGAATCTACACAATTGTCTCTCCTTCACTGTCCAGTTGATTCTGGCAAGTCAGATGATTTATAGCTCAAGTTATGCACATTGCATGAGGAGACGGATCATTTGATCTCAATGACGTCTTAAAAATATTTTGCCAGCATAGGGCCTGCCAAATCTTATTTGCAGATGTAGTGGGCTTACAAGGTGAAAATCTGCACTGCAAGCGAGGGACAGGGTAATCAGCAGAGAAGGGCTATTGCGAGCTCAATCTGTTTGAACAGCCTGCTCGGTTCATCTGGTTCAGCTTTGATTATCCCCAAATACAGGCAGCCAGCTATGACTCCTGC